GTCTATATACGCGTCGTAGTCGTGTATACTGTATATGTCGACACCGGTTGACTATATAGTAGTACTATACTAGCGACCAACAACCTCCTCTTTTTTGGCTATAGATACTACGAATATCGCTGTATTATTCGGCGTTGTCGCTGCCGCCGTGCTCGTCGCTATTACACCAATCGTCACAACCCCTATCGCAGAGCGCTAGTATCGGCCACCTGGCGTAATTACGACTCAAATCGAGCCTAGGAGAGGCAGGAAAGAGACGTACAAGTGCTTATATGGTCCAGAGCGATACTGTCACTATGTAACGCGTCTAAAACAGCCGGTGTTAATATCGTTAATCGAGGAATTGACCGAGCGTAGTGGCCTCGACGACTATGGAAAAGCGAGGGTTTCGGTTGCTAAGCAAGTGGTTATATTCTGCGATTTCGTTGCACACAACCGTAGTATCTCGGACCTAGAGCGGCAGTATGTCTATGTACGGAGGACGTTCGAGAGGATTATCGATAAAGTCAGTGTTGCACTGTGTCGAATGGCCGAGGATTACGTCCAACTACTAGATAATACTGCTATCCACTCAATTCTCAGAACCCCTAAATTTAGCTATTTCAAAGGAGCCCTAGGTGCGCTGGATAGTACATACATAAATGCCGTTATTCCGGAAGAGAGGCAGTCTGCGTAGCGTTGCCGGAAGGGTTTTATCGCGCAGAACGTACTAGCAGTATGCGATTTCAGCTATAACTTCCTCTATGCGCTCGTTGGTTACGAAGGATCTGCGAACGATGGGACGGTCGTTAATAGAGCGTTCAGGGTTGGAGGTCTACATGTACCAGAGGGCCGCTATTATCTCGCAGATGGTAGTTATTCGCCGAAGGACAATCGACTCTTAGTACTATATCAGCGTACAAGATACCACCTACGTAAGCAGATCGCGTCGAATGCCAAACCAGAGACAAAAGAAGAGCTTTTCAACCTCCGCTACGCGCAGCTAAGAAACTGCGTTGAGCGTATATTTGGTATTGTAAAGAAGCGCTTTGAGTACGTCCGTGTTGGTCCGTACCTAGGGCGCTCTATACTCGACCAAAAGCGTATTCTTATAGCGTGTTTTGTCCTCCATAACTACATTCTTGCGTACGGCGAACAACTACTCTCTACAGAGCCGCAGTTGCTACAATCGGACGGCTATATCGGCAACGACGATGTCTCTGGTATAGAGTATAAAGCACCGGGTTTCGAGGAGGACGAAGGAATGTTAAAGTTCCGAGATGAGATAGCGGAGGATATGTAGCAAGACTACCTCGAGCTGCTCGAGCACCGTAGCCAGGACCGTACTGGTATTAAGCAGGAGTAGTAGACCTTACACAGCTTATAATACTTGATAGTATACCAATCACGACGCTAACAACGATACTAATACCGAATGACCGTCCGAATAACCATCCGAATAACCGTCCAAATAACTGTCTGAATTACTATAAGAACGAACGTATCATCTCAACGTCTTCATTATCAACGACCATCTCAACGACCATCTCAATGTCTTCGTCGTCAAAGACCATCTCAACATCTTCTTCGATAGCGTTGCTATTGTTATAGCCGTCGTTATTGTCGTTGACGCTGTCAACGACGTCGTCCTCGCTATTGTCGTCGTCGTCGTCGCCATCGCTATCGCCATCGTTGTCGTCGTCGTCGTCGTCGTCGTTGTCGTCGTTATCTTCGAGCTTAGGGTAGCGCTCGTAGAACTCTTTCTTCAATATTGATAGGGCTGTACGAAGAGAGTTCGTATTACTTGTCTTATATTCGAGGCGACGTTCAAGTAGAGCTACCCTCTCTTCGAGGGTAACGACCTTAGCAGTAGCAGCGGCGGCGGAGGCAGAGGTAGCGGATATAAGTGTAGCAGAGGCAGTAACGGCGGCGGAGGCAGCGGATGCAAGTGTAGCAGAGGCATTGATAGCGGCGGAGGCAGCGTCCAAGCTGTACCCTTTTATATTAGTATACTACGAATATACTATAAGTAGAGTTCAGGATAACTTACATAGCTGTAGGAGACATAGTGCTAGTATTGGTATTGGTATCGGTATTGTTAATAGAGAAAAGAAGACAAAGGACGTAGCTCCTAAGTTGATAATATATGCAGTAGATACTCATATTGCTACCGTCCATTCGCATGTAGAAACACATATCAATCAACGAATAGATCAACAAATAGAGAATACGTCGGGTACGTAAAGAATAGTATAATAATTACTATTACTTTCACGACGAACACTACCTAGGTACGTCCGAATAAACGTATCAACGAACGCATACATATGCGTATACATGATAAGCGCATAAAGTATATCAATGCGTACGTGATGAATACTAGTAAAAAACCACTACAACTTTCACAACGAATACCTACCTGTAAAAGTTTGAACCTACCCCCGAAGGTACAGTATAAACCCCCGAAGATACTACGAATAGCGTGCATTCTACGTTTCTGTATTCTATACTTCTGTATTCGGCACTCTACATTCGGGGTTTCTATATTCTACGTTTCTGATTTAGATAGCCTCGACCTAACTAGAGCTCCGTCGTAGGAGGTAGGAGACGTAACGTTAGGTATGTAGTATACAATTCTAGGGTCTATCGCTAAGTACTATACACGAGAATACATTTATACCTATTACTTGGCCAAAATATGTCCAAATCTTACCTTTTTTTGATAGAAATGTACCGACGACTACACTTAAGTAGGCATCAAGTGTATAGTTGATAAGAAGTGACTCTGCGACTGTTATAAAGTATACAGCGGGAGGTGTATACTGCCAAGGCTACACG